GTGGTGATGGTGTAGTCGTGGCCTCCTCATGATCTAATCAGTCACTGGGGATGTCGACCCAGTCTGAGAATGAAATTTGCTTTCTTTTCTGTCTGTCTCTCTTTGCACACACAAATATGCACACACACCTTCATGCAAGGTCAGCCATGAGTCAGTGCGAGCGGTTCTCATTGTTCATTGAGGCACTCAGGTTGCTGTGAAATGTCTCGCTTCAGGGTGAAGAAATGAACAAAGCAGCCAGAAAGAAAGACCTGCTGTATTTCTGTCATCATATTTTATAGCTTCAGGGCAGGTTTCACAACATCCTCAACCACAGTTGATTCAAAGGTGTGGCAGAATACCTATGAAACAACCTAAATGCACTGAGTGAATCATTACAATTACAGATCGTACAGATTCTGTTTGAATGCGCCAAGACGTTTGTGTGGAATTTCCAAATTCCAAGTCTTGTTTGAACTAAACCGGGCTACATCTATTGCTAGTTTGTAGATAAAGGATTCAACTTTGAAGGAATATCTGTTTTTAATGTACAAACGTCTTGTTGCACTCATGTGTTGGAAGATTATACCAGCAATTAAGCTTGAGCTTTAATGCTGAAGAATGCCTGAAGCTTCTCTATAACAATAGCTTCTTCTCAATCAGGGTTGGTTAGTATTGTAAAGGACTTGTGTGTATGAATCGGAATCCTGTGGGGAATGTTAATTGTTAGGTAAATGTCCTTGCAGCATGTCAATTCGGATCTATTCCACTCAACCAGGCACCTAGAGGACGACTGATTGTGGGTAGTGTGGGTGGTAAATCCATGCTGTTGGCTTTAAAGTCTATTCAGACCAAGTCAGAGTTTCATTATTTTATGATCATATTTAAAGATTATAAAACTAAAAGATACAATTCTTTAGAGTCCAAAATATGTTTTATGTTTTGAAATGAGTTTTGTGATATTTAATAAGATTGTAGAATATTTATAAATATTTTAATAGTAAGTATTATAGTATTTTAATGTTAATACTAATTATTCTATTTATAAATTTATTAATTTAAATATTTTATATATATATTAACGGTGTGAGCAGTTCTGTGCAAAATACTTTGCCTTTTCCACGACATTCTAATTTATTGAGATGCACCTGTATGTATTTATTTATTTTGGTGTCATGTAGTGGCACTGGACATGTGAACAAAGTCTAAAAGTTCTTACATCGGATCCCTCGGAACCATCTAGCAATTAGTGTTCTCTGACTTGTTGAGACATGGCGCTCATGTGGGTGGAGTGAATTTGAGTCTGCCTTGCAAGCTTCCTTATCAGTTCATACTCTAAATAAGTGGAAAAATGCCATAAGTATACAATAAATATGTAGCGTATTTTAGCGTAGTATGGTCATCAGGCTTTAGTGGGAGTGTGCTTGTGTGTTGGTAAAGTCATCATCCTGTTGACTGCTTTTTCAGCAGCGGCCTTTTGAGCTTGAAGGAGTTGCTTTCTTTTGTGTGTGTTCCCTGGTCATCCAAATGATCACTCAAGCATGGACAGTCGTTTGGCAGAGACAAAGCTCATTTTCTGTCTCACCCTTTCTCTCTTCTGCTACCACCTCTTTCTCATCCACATCTATCGTTAAGCTCCTCTGATTCTATTTGATGCAACTTCATACCCTGCTAGCCGCTCACACACACACACGCACGCACACACACACAAACACACACACACACACACACACACACACACGTTTACTTAACTATCTAAATTGGGACATTACATAGACTACACAGACAGTTATACACTTTTTAACCTAGACACACACACGTTTGTCATTCTTTCTTCTCAGCCAAATATCTACAAAGAAAAGTTTTTTTATAGATGTCCAACATTCAGTCTTGCACAAACAATTTCTGCACTTACCCTCAGTTTAGTACACTTAAAGCTCTACACGTGTACGAGTTAATCTTCAGTGCTAAACGAATCCTTTGCAAAGTTCAGTTTAACAACCTTAAATATGATTTATTAGGTTGCCAAGGCAAGAATTGCAATTACTATTGCTCGTACTTGTGGTGAGAGATTTGAACAAACCCCTGCCCTAAGCATTAAAATTGTGTAACTCATCCCACATTACATGAACAACACCTCAAATCGTATGACTTTTGACTATGATATTAGCTTTCTAAGTGACCATTTTTTTAGTATGATGAATGTTAGAGTCATTAGAGAGATCCATTATCATTAGAAAGTTTGGGGCTGAATTATTTTAGCTTGTTTGCAACCTCATATATGATGGCCTTGACCCCAAACTCTTCTAAAATTTTTAAAATCTAGTTAAAACTAGTTAAAACATTTGTCTCATTTCTTATGCATGTTTTTACTTTAAGTATTAACTCTGCAGAGCTTTTACAATGTTGAGTATCAGTGCTGATCTATGGGCCACCCTACACCGACAGCCACAGGCAAGATGAAGTGAGCTATCCGTTTCCTTTCTCTCACCTCCTATATTAGAGCCTTAAGCTATCCAGCTAAAGTCAAGTGTTACGGATCAATGATGAATGACAAAAATAAGGCCAAGAAGGTCAAATAAAATAGCCCGAGTCTGTGAAAAGCAGTAGTTTTTCCTTGTCTGTTTTTAATGCAGTAAGTCTCCTTTTTCTCACGTAACCCTGTTGAGGCTCCATCTAGTCCTCTTGAGTTTGTTAAAGCCCAGCAGAGTAAGTTAAGAAGACAAAGAACCAGAACTGGCGCTATGCACTGTGCAAAAAGATTGTTCTGGAACAAATCGGATAATGTTGTGGCTTCCTTGTTTCATATGTCCTTGTGCGACATACTTGTACTTTGTAACTAAACATGAATGCTGAGTTGGCTTAAATGAAGTTGGAGTGAATGAGACTATTTTTGAAATGTTCGCAACCTGAATAAACACCGGATCTTAAGATTTCTTAACCAGCTAGGTATAATCTCAGAGTTCTAGGGCTCAAGTTTAATCGGATCGTGTTTTCAATGACAGGAGCCTCCCTGTTCTGGCAGGAGCAAACTTTGGCCAGGGAGTGTCTATCTAGCTCTCTTTCTTCATTCACACACCCCACCTGCCTGCCCTCAGTAACGATGAGATCACTCAGCTACTGATAACATTACACGTCTTTTCAGGCAAGCCAAATCTTTATTGCCCTTGACCAAGCCTACACTTTATCCAGTGTGATACAATAAAATATAAGTAAGATACAATAAAATGTAATGAATCATTCTGCAGCATAAATTATGCCACTCCTTTTTACACTAGCGTGCATGGCCTGGATAAATGTAGAGATCACAGTCTCTACATTTTTTTTCTTTTGCTTTCTTACTCTCTTGTCATCATACTGTATGTGATGGATTCGACTGCTCTTTGTATGCAGACCTGCTGTTTGCTCTCTGAAGGCCTCCACGTCTTCTTCCTCCCCCATCTCATTCCTTTATGGCAGTGAAACGGAGTCTTGCCCATCTGAATAGGCAGACTGTTGACACAGCTGAGTGCAATGCAGCACACATGTGAAACATCTCTAATGTTTTGTGATTGCTAGGCAGAGAGCCGAACAGGTGACTCTGGCTCTAAGCAAGCAAGTTTAATAAAGGCATTGCATTGTACACTTAGAGGACCAATAAGACCGCCTATAGGAGGTATTAGGTTCACACTTAAATCTATCAAAGCCACTTATCTGCTTCTAAGGCTACCATTATCATAGGCAATGCATGATGGGTATAGGATATTGTGGCTGTGAAATGTAGAAATGCTATTTATAGGTCTACTTTAGGTTTTACACCTAGAGAAATAAACACACAATATGTGTGAAGTGAATTGCATTCATTTGTGATGAAAAAATGACTACATTAACAATATTACACCATTTTTAAAATGCAACTTTTAAATAAAATTGAAAATAAATCATTGCTTTATTTTAGGTTACACTTTATTTTACAGTGTCCTTGTTACAGTGTAATTATACTAGGGATGTAACGATTACCGGTTTGACGAAATCGTGATAAAATACCCCACGGTTAGTATTACCGTTTCATATTTTAATTATCACTATAACCGTATTCGATTACCGTGATTTGAACAACTGAGGATAAATAAATACTGTACTGCACAGGGCTACAGAGTGTGACCAAATGGGCGCATTTTGCAAAAAAAATTTCTGCCGGTGCGACTAAATTTTGTGTGCGGTCGCACTGGCGCGACCACCGCATTGTTTAATTGTTTAGCGCTGCATTTCTGTTGCATATGAGAAACATCTAAAGGCAAACTAAACTGAAAGCATAACGAAACCGCGCTACTCGTTTGAACTGCTCAGCGCTTATAGAGTGTAGAGCCAGTCTTAAAAAGTGAAAGGTGTGTAGATGTATGAATCAGACAATTATCTTTTCTTGTAAAACGTGACGCCAAGATCGCGAATTCGAAAGGGAAAGCATCCGAAGCCCTGCTTATAACATAGCTAAAGAGAAACTCCCTGTTCACAAAATTCAAATCACAAATAATACTGATGAAAAAGAAGGGGTTGAATGTTAACCACTTTCGTTTTCATATAACTATAAACTATGATAAAAGTTCATCAGCATGCATTGATTACAAACAAAAACTCATTTTATTTGTTGTTTGTTGATTTTAAATGTAAAACTTGGTGAAATTGTTTGTGTCAGTACTTTTTGAACATTTCCAGCACATTTTAACAATACCGTGATAATATTGATAACCATGATCATTTTGGTCAGTATAATCGTGATAAGAAATTTTCATACCGTTACATCCCTAAATTATACATTTAAGTACTGAGTAATATTATGAATGCAATTATGCATAATTTATTGTTATTACTATAGCAAGTACATGTAAAGTGTAACAAGGACACCGTACAATGAAGTGTTACCTTATTTTATTTTAATGAATACATAATTGATTATTAGATTCTTCACTTTAATGTGTTTCTTCATTTTTATGTGTCTTACAGAGTTTCTTTAAGATTTCCTTTTGTTTTTCTCAGGTGTGATCCAGACACAGGAACTGCTGGACCATGAGACTGTACCTCACTACTGGCTGACGGTCTACGCAACTGACCGTGGTGTGGTCCCGCTGTCTTCCTTCGTGGAGGTCTACATCGAAGTCCAGGATGCCAATGATAATGCCCCACAGACCTCTGAACCTGTCTATTATCCGTCCGTCATGGAGAACTCACCTAAAGATGTCTCCATCATCCAGATTGAAGCGTTTGACCCAGACACCAAGTCCAGTGAAAAGCTGTCCTACAAGATCACTAGCGGGAACCCCCAGGGTTTCTTCAGCATCAACCCTAAGACTGGTGAGTGTTTCAAAGAGCTTTTCATCTTTTCATCTTACAGTCCTTCTAGCAGTCGATTTGAAGATGCTGAGGTTGACAGAATTTATCAAATATGGGCTCAAATCAGACATAAGGCAGATTTATTCGACATGTAAATAATTGCTATTTTAAATGATTCGGCACACATATTGGTCAACTACTACACTAAAAACATGTTCTATTGTACAGCGCTATTAAAATAATTACGTACCAGAATACATTTTGCATTAATTCATGAATAACCTGAATGCTGAAATTTCAGGTTCAAAATTAACGTTTTTTTTTTTTTTAAGAAATTGAAACTTTTATACAGCAAAGACACATTAAATTGACCAGAAGTGGCAGTAAAGACATTTATAATATTACAAAATATTTATATTTCAAATAAATGCTGGTTTTAACCTTCTATTTCTCAAAGAATCCTGGAAAAAAATATATTAAGCAGCTAAAAATATTCAGGCTAATATTAAGGCTGTTGAAAATTCAGCTTTGCCATTACAGGAATAAATTCTATTTTAAAATATATTGGAAATAAACGGAAAACCGTTATTTTAAATTGTAATAATATTTCACAGTATTACTGTTTTTACTGTATTTTTGATCAAAGAAATGCGGCCTTGGTGAACATTTAAAAAAAATCTTAAAGTCTTACTGAGCCCAGTAGTGAACAGTATGGTAACTAACAGTAGTTCTGTTAATCATTTGTTCAGCTGACACACAACTCAGCGATTCATTTCCTAGTCAAGCATGGTTTGCAGAGCATATTCTGTTCGAAAGGGTCATTTTCATGTCATATTGTCCTACATCAGTACAGTGCAAATGGTCCATCAGAGTAGACATCCATCAACAGGATGCATGCAAACAGTAAGAGATAGGTTAGCTACTGTACATCCTAATGCTCTTCTGAGATTCTTCGCGTGCCATCAGTCCCAAACATCTGTTTTTTATGTAAATCTACTGAAGCATAAGGCTCAGTGAATAAGTGTACGAAGGCACACTCGCCTGCTCTCAGATCTACTCCATGTTCTCGTTTTCTCACCATGTCTCTCTCTCTGTCGCTTCTCACTCTCTTCATGGATCACTGTGTACGCATATGGGGTTTGCTAAATGGACCCACACTGAATATTTTATACAGCTATGGTTCCCCCTCCTCGTGCTCCTCTCCCCCATAGAGTAGAACATGATTTTGCAGGCATACAGAGGAGAATAGGAATAAAAAGGTGCAAACAGCAGATCCAGAGGCCGGGCAGCTGTAGAAGACCTTGAAATGATTCAAACTTCAAGTTCAGGACTTTTCAGAAACATGTTAGGTCACATTACCTAGTTCCTAAAATATCTTCATTGTTGTCTGAACTTGTTTTAGTGCTAAGAACAAATAACTTTTAACTGAAGAAGACTATCAGGGCTCTACAATGCGACTGAAAACTACTGCGTGTGACTGTGAAAAAATATTTAGGAGCACCATCTCTTCTGAAACTACTGTTTGTGATATTTCTTTGAAAAAATATTTGTGAACCATTTGCTCTACATTCAATCTCATTGCTGCCTTGGAGAAACAGTTTAGTTTTAAAGAGATTTAATTTATGAATGATCTTTCCTATGGGTAGATTTCTTGGAAATCCACAAGCTTTATATGGATGGAGTGAGTATGTGCATCAAAAAAAGCCCACTGAACCTGAAAGCAATCAGTCTGAGAAACTGGCCCTGAAGTTTTATTTGAGTTGAAGGTTTTGGCTAGTCTGTGAAAGTTGGTGGCCAGCCTCTCTCACAGTGTTTTACTGACTTGTGTGGTCTTTTTTCCCCATGCAGTTACATACACAAATGTGAAGGTTATTTTTGCTAGCGGTGGCCAATGAGAGTTTTCAGACCAAATAAGGGTTTGTCCTCCAGCAGACTGAGTTCTCTCAGTAACGGTTCCACACTTGGATTTGCTCCAGGGAAAGAAAGAAAGAAAGAAAGAAAGAAGGGAAGAGAGGAAAAAAGAGAGGGAAATTGAGGCAGTCTAACTTTTTAGTAGAATATTAACCATTCCGGGAGTGGCGGATGTGTGGATTATTAAAGTGCCTGTTTGCGTGTGTTACCATGAGAAAGAGATAAGATTTCTAATTAAGAAAGCGTGTTTTTGCAGCACTTCTAGTTTTAAGTCCTGAAGACCTTCATTCCTAGTGATCAACAGAGATGGTTCAGAGAAGTTTCTGAAATATTTTGTCATCTTGCAAGTGCATATCAGATCTCCAGAGGAAGAGCTCTGCAAAGCACAACTGATCTTGTACAACCATATCTTGTATGCAATGTAGACGGTACATAGTTTGTCAAAAGCACAGGGTGCTCACCCACCTAAACACTTAGAGACTCAGACATAATATAATATAACTGGGAGTAATCAGGGATGGGCCTGTCTCTTCAGATAACATACAGCTGCACAGCATGTACATGTCTGTAAATGAAGAAAGTTCAATGGAGGAGATCTTTTTTATAGAGATGTTCCATTTATTCAAGCAGTTTCTAAAAATAAATAAAATAAAAAAAGACAATTATTTTCAGTCGATTAAAAGATTAAAATTAAGCCTCAAGGCACTGTTGCTATTGTTAACTACAACTAAAACTATTATATTTGTTGTTAATTGTAATAAAGCTGTAATAAAATAACATATAAGATCAACCTAAATTTTTAAAACTTTAGAATTTTTTTAATTAGAAATGTTGCCTTGGCAACTAACTCAAATAAAAGAAGTTTAAGTTGAAATACTAAAATAATTAAAACAAAAACTGAAACTAATTAAATTAATGCTTAATAGAAATATTAAAAACCTAATGTAAATTAGCCACATAAAAATGAGTAAAACTTAAACTAAAATTAAAATTGAAAACATAAAAATTAAAGCTAATTCAAAATATTGATAAACACTATAATAGTATTGAAATAATATTAAAATAATACTGTCTCAAAGTTGATTGGTTTGGCCGCTTGAATTTCCTTTAGCGCAGATTTACACAGGCTTATCATGGGTGATGAATGAACAAGATGATGCTATCCCTGCTTTACTAAGCATTTCACAGTAACCGGGACTATAATCCATTTAATCATGATGACTTGCACTGCTGTTTGAGTTTTGAGCTCAGAGGGAAAATTAAAGATTCCGCTTACTAACTCAGAATGAAAATGTGAAAAAAGCCACTAAACAGCCTCAGAATGAAAATGAAATGTTTCAGTCACTACCTTTTAAGAAATAAATGAACAATTTCAGCTACTACCTCTAATAAATGAAAAGTTTAGTTCAGATTTCAGTGACTGTTTTAAAAATGCGAGAGAAAAATTTACACTGGACAAAATTTCTTCAGACACTGTAATGGACAAGATATGATATCATTCTCTTTGGCTCCTGTTCAAAAATATCAACATATGAATTTAGCAAATCCAAAAAATAGTAAATCCAAAATATAAAAAATATGCAGTCTACTTCATTTGCATGCAACAGTGCAAAACCTGCGACATTAAAGTTTGTGTTCTTTTTTTTTGTGTTCTTTTTGTGTTCTTTAAGAGGTCGCCCTGTGACATTTCAATCTTCTGTTGGTCACTTCTTCATGTGATGTGAATCACAGGTCAGAGTTCACCAGACTTTAACTTTGGAACATAGATGACATTTGCATGAAGTTTTGTATGAATGGAAGTCAATGGTAGGAAAAGTATAGTGGGACCTAGGCTTGCCGCGAAAGACGGTGCTGACGGTGATACCGGTGTTAAGCCGCAACACGTTACGTCACTTGCCCACCGCGTCACCAACCCCCACCGTCGTTTTGATTTTTTTATAGTAATAAAAATCATTTAGTTCAGTAAAAGTCAAGTCAAGTCAAGTTTATTTGTACAGCGCTTTTCACGATACAAATCATTGCAAAGCAACTTTACAGCAAATTAAGTTTCTACAATATTTAGTGGTAGCTTATCAGTGGTGACTGTCAATTAATGTACATATGGCAGAAATGTACGGAAAAATCAATTTAAGACGTAATAAAAAAGACGATGAACACTATTAACAGCAATTATATGGGGTGGAGTTATATTTAATAGACCTGAGAAACATTGTTACTGTACTGAAAGAGTTCAGTAAATGTGCTTTGAATGAGGCTGCATTATGCACAGTCTGAATTTAAAACTGAAGCAATTGAATTAACAGAAAACAATGCATTACAATAAAATCTACAGGTATTAATCCTCATGGGCAAGTAGCAAATTAATATTGAGGATACAGTATGAAACTGGGGTACAGTATAGGTGAAGTGAATCTGTTTTCGAAAGTGAAAGTAAAATGCGCACGGCGCTTTTAAGCTATTTAAAAGCGAAGGAAAGCGAGGAAAAGAGGGAAAATTCAAACGAACAATTGCTTTACTCCGAATTGCCGCTATTTGAAAGTGAAAGTAAAATGTGCACACCGCTTTTACAAGCTATTTAAAAGCGAAGGAAAGCGAGGAAAAGAGGGAACACCCCCTCCCCCACAGTGATACCAGTATTACCGGTGTTGTCACACGTCGATTAACCGGTGGGAAAATTTCCTCACCGTCACAACCCTAGTGTGACCTCCCCCTTTTTTTAAAGGTAAGGTAAGGTGGCAGACAGGCTACCAGCATACCAAATCCTGTTATCCTTTCATTACTGAGACTTAGAATCTCAAGCAGAGCTCCAGTAAGAGATCCCCACTAAATCTTTATACACGAGTACCAGCAGCCATTTTGTGTGTACTTTGAGATTGCAGACTATGATACTATAATAGCTATTTCAACAATTCATAGCTTCCTTGCAACACTTAAAAGTACTTCATGCGATATGGCTCAAAGCAATCAAGCAATTAACTCATAACCTTTATCACAGGTTGCAGTAACACCATAGCTACCTGCGTTGTTTATATTTTTTCAGAAACAAGGTTTGAACGCTCCGTTGAATCTGGAGTTAATTGTTATCACCGCTGACCTCTATTATTAGTATT